TGTTGAAAATGCTGACTGAGTCGAGTGGGTGAAGGATTGTGGTGGCACCAGTGTCTAAGGCTCTACTGCGGACTGTGCAGGTGCTTGTGTCGTTCTCGATGACGAGGCTCAAGCATATTTTCTTCTTCTCTGGCTTGATTTCCCTCCATCTCTCTAGCACCATGTTGCATCGGTGGATGTTACATCAATGGGTACTTTTGGGGAGGTACATAAAGTTCTCGTGATCGCTCCTCGTCAGTCAGTATATATGATATTCCATATTGTTTCACAACATGTAATCATTTGAAATACTATGCTCGAAGATGGGATAACAAATGTGCCATCTATCTAATCTCATTACCCACTGTGACACCCATTCCACATGATAAATCTTCCAATTAACATTTGACTTCCCATGCCGCGTTACGTGATACAAGTCGTCCAAGTCTGGTGGTGGTAGCGAAATCACTTGGATATAGTTAAATTGTGGTAGCACGCGATCGGTAGAATGCCACTCGACTATCTCATATACTATCAACAGACCATACACACCCAAACGTCCAAACTGAGATCTATTTCAGTTGGCGCACATGATCTAATAGCATCATCGTTATACGCCGTCCATTGGAACTACAAAAAAAATTTAAACTACTTTAGATAAACATTTATTAAAAAATGTTTTTTTAAATAAAATGATATCAATTACATTTATTACCTCATTTTTCATCTTATCAATCAACGATCTAAAATCACGCAAAGTTCTTGGTAGGTGTGTGTGAGTTAGTGTGCAGTTCGCCTATCATTCATTCATATAACAAATATAATTATTTGTAAAACCCTAAAAACGTATAATAATTTTAAAATATAAATATATATTTTTTTAATTACTTTCAAAGTATTATATATTGAATTGGGTCGGTTGTGTGGGAATTCGACATAAAAACGACATTCACAACCAAGCCCACGAATGCAACATTATCAGACAACCTCTAATAACTTGTTTTTCCGGATCGACAACTTTACAATGTTCTCGAAACAGAAAGGCCAACACTGCGATCTCCAACTCTTAAATTTTGAGTCCTGTAAAACAAGTAGATGATACAACCACATCGATGCACTTTATTCAGGGATTTATGTGGCATCAAGATCCCCCTAATAACTCGTAAATTATGATCACTAGCAAATAACTGCAAAATAAAAAAAATAATCATATATTAAAAAGTTTTCATAAAAATTTATAATAACATAACATAAAATAAAATTTCAATATTATAAATCAAAAATCAAAAATAAATAAACATGAATTTCAAAAATTACCTCCTTAATTTTTGGAGGAGCATTGGGGGGTAACTGAGTAAAATTGTCATCCAAAAATTTAATTTTGATCTTCCCTTCATCTAAATCACAATCATTCGGAGGAATTCCTAGCAGTTCCTCACACAAACCAATCCATTACCCATAGACAATATCGATAATAACCATTTCGTCAACAGGTAGCCCACTATGGTGTGCAACATCTTCAAGGTTAATAGTTACCTCCCCCGCAAGGAAAATGAAACGTGTGTATCTCCAGCCTTCATCGTTCTAGCAGTGTGTTTATCAGTGGAGGATGCAACTTCATACCACCAATTATAGTGCTAACGTAACCAAAATCGACTTCATGTAAATACGAAAGAATATCGTCATAAGGGCTCGTAAAACGACTGATATAACATGTTAACGAATGTCATACCCCTTCAAATAAATAAATAAAATAAAATAAATAACCGAACAAAATAAATAAATAGAAAAATAAATAAAATAAATTACCAATAAAATAAAATAAATAAATAACCAACTAAATAAAATTAATAAAATAAATTACCAAATAAATAACTGAATAAATAAAATAAATAAACAATTGAATAAAATAAATAAATAAATAAATAAAATACCTCCAGATTTGTCCGTCAATAATCGAACACACGAATTCGATCAAGCTTTAGTAATCCCACCATAATAATCAAATAATGGAATAATTAACAGAAAGTAACAGAAAGAGAGAGACATATTTGTGGAGTAAGGTGTTATGAGTTTGGGAAAGGGGCCCTATTTATAGGAGTCCTCACATATCTTCTGAAGTGAGATTAAAGGAATCTTGCGTTATACAGGGCGCGAGGTCCATTGAATAGTTTAAAATTTTAAATTTTTTAAAACACGATAAATTGTTGAGACGTTTCAATATCACGATGACCTCGTGGTTTGCAGAACGCAAGGTCTTTTTTCATGACAGATTAAATTCTGTTCTCTGAAAAGTGTTTCCATGTTGGATGGGTCTCGCGTCCTATACAATGCGAGGCCTTAACACGCATTTTGTAAGACGTGAGATAGTCCGACGCGTGCAGTTTGGGAAGTATTTTTCCAATTAATGTTGTTTGGGTTATTTTAATAAAATAATAAAAAAGTGTTTTCTTATTTAGGGTAAATTACACCATTCCTCACTGAACTATAATCTCTCTTATTTTACTCACCGTACTTTTTAATTTTTCTAATTTACTCATTGAACTTTCTAATTGCTCTTGTTTTAATCACTTGAATTATTTTATTGTTATTTTTGTATGACATGGTTTTTTTATTATTTAATATAAAATAATTTAAAATATAAAATAAAAACATAAGGTAGCCTGACACCGCTGTCGGCTGTCGATGACCGCCGTAGATGGTGGCCGTTCGATCACAAATTTTGGGTTGCTTTGCCTTGACACCGTGAATTTGAATCCGACCTCCATTTTGTTAGAACTTTCTCCAAAGTCCATAAATTAGAGATTGAAAGTGAGGAAACCAAAATGTTTCAATTGAAATTCACGAGTTTTGGGATAATTTTCGGTGAAACAACCACTAGATTTGGACTCACGGGTCAAGGCAAACCGACCCATGAAATTTGGTATCGAACTACCACCATCTACGACGTCGACGGTGGTCGACGGTGGCGTCTAGCCACCTTATTTTTCATTTTATATTTTCAATTATTTTATATTAAAAAGTAATACTAATAAATGTGTTATACCAAAATAATAATAAAATAATTTGAAGTGATCAAAACATAAACAATTCGAAAGTTCAGTGAGTAAATTAGAAAAATAAAAGTATGGCGAGTTAAATAGGAGAGACAATATAATTCAATGAGTAATTTATAATTAAGTGAGAAATGGTGTAATTTACCATTTTATTTAATAAAGACTCACTTGACAACATCCTCCATTCTCGAGCCCAACACTACATTTGTTGTATCTTAACAACCCTTGAACTAGAAAATTGTTTGGCTACTAAGAAAAAAACGGTGGAATCTGTTTTGCTACAATTAGATGAGGAACTCCGAAGAGCTTGCTGACCTTGTGGCCTGGAAAGCTGCTGAAAATGGTAAAATCAAATTGAACACTGATGGTGCAAATCAGGGCAATCCAGGCATTCCCAGTGCTGGTGAAGTCTTTCGGAATGAAAGCGGTATGTGGCTTTTGGGTTTTTCGGCTTATCTCGGAACTTGTTTGAGTCTGGCAGCTGAGCTTCACAACATCCGTATTGGTCTATCGTTTGCTTGAGATGGGATTTTGCGATGTCGTGTGCGAGGTGGATGCACGGGCGGCTCTGAGTTTTAATTGAGTCGGGGAATATCTCTTTGCATCCGTTAGGCTCAACTGTAGCTGATATTCGGAATCTTCGAGACCGTTCATGGACGATTGTGTTTCAGCATTAGTGCTGGAAAGGGAATGTTGTGCGGATATCTTGTAAAAAATGGGTTGTTAAATTGATGAGGAGCTTGTTACGTTCGACCAGCCACCACCTGAGGTACTTTCAACAATCATTACTTTAATCACAATGATAGTTTAATTCATGTTAATAATAAAATAAATTAAAATGATTAAAATAGAAACAATTTAAAAGTTGAATAGTTAAATTGATTTTTTTTAAACTTCAATACCAAAATAAAAGTGAGAAGATAATTAAATGATGAATGATATAATTTACCCAAAAACATAAAATAATATTAATTTTTTAACGATGAGATACTAAAATAAAACAAAAACTAAAAGTTTGATATGAATTTTAAAAAATTAAAAGTTTAAGTAATAAAATAAACCAAAACTAATAGTTTAAATAATAAACGTAATTTACCCTAAAATAAAATAAGAACCAAGGATTGATTATTTTTGGGGTTTCAATTTGAACCAATGACGAGGAAAGTCTATAAAATGAGAAAAATGGTAAATTATGGTACAAGTCAATAGACAAGTGGCACCATAATTTTACACTTGACTCTGAATTTTTGAATATTTGCAATTTAGTCTTGAGTTCAATAGAATTCACAATGTAACCCTCATACTTCAAAATTTTTTCAGGAAAATACTCTAGAACTCCAAAAATATTGAATCTAACCCTTAGGTTTTGCTATAAGCTCAATTTAATCCATATTTGGTTTCTCAAGTTTCGCAATCTAACTCAGATTTTCATAATTTCATCATTTTAAAGTACACACGTGTTATTCATTAATAGTCCAAGCTCTCAATCCATTAACAAAAACGAGCCAAGCCACAAATAAAAGGCTAAGGATACTAAGAATGCAACAAATCACACAACTCCACTAAACATTGCATTCCTTGGGGAAAACTTGATCGAACCATACATCAAACAGGCAAATTTTTGTATAAAGAACAAAAATCCACAAACGTCAGAAACCACAAACCTTGTATGGAAAAATATAAATTGAGCTTATAACAAAACCGAAGGGACTAAATCGAGTGAAATTGATATTGTTGGTGTAAAACACAGCCATCAACATCACCTCTTTAATCTGTTCTTTGCTTCTTTTCTAATATTCAACATCAGAGGCCACAAACCTTGAACAGTAAATGCTATCTCTATTCATTTTAAACAACTATCACCACTTCATTCCCCATTGCTAGGTTTGCATGAAAAACAACTAAAATGATTATTACTAAACAAAATATGAAATCCATTAACAACACTTGGAATTTTAGTTATCATCTCTAATCATCAACACGAGAGTTTTACATCTTACAATCAAAATCTAACCTTATTCAACAATTCCCCAGTTTTATGCAACAGCTGCCTCCCCCTCATGAAGAAGCATTTGATCAAAGTGCCACACCCCTGAATATCCACCAAACCAAACATATCAATATCAACAAACTAATGGTAGCATACTTCTTACAAAAACACCACGCGGGTAAATTCATACCATGGCCTTTGTCAACTCTTCTCAACTGAGCTACATACTCTGATATTTTCTTGATGGCTTCCACCTAAAGAATTCCACCTAAAGAAACAGTAATAAAGTGAGAATTTGCTTTCTGCTAGAAAACCAAATGCAGCAAAATAGCATTTTACCTGTTCAGATAGGAACTCGCCTTCAATGAAATCAGTCAGCTGCACATCATTGCTCTGCTCAGCTACCTATTAGCAAAAGCCTCCAACATTAGTTTAAAACAGTTCATCCATCCATCAATTTTATAATTAAAATCGACTAGTGTGAGACCTTTACACCTTACTAAGGTATCAAAAATGCAAAAAGAGAGTAGAGTTTTTACCCTGTGCAAGTTCAAGAGCTTTTCATTTGTTAGTTTCTCCAGGGACAAGGCAAGATCCATAGCTGAACCAAAGAATTCAAAACAATCAGTTTCGTGCACATATAAAATGCTAAAATCCAAAGCACTTTTTTTTTCATTATCATACAATTAACAATAAGTCTATGTTACTAGGACTTGTGTGCGACTCTTGGGTATGCATTCAACTCGGATATGTTAATTTGCGTAGAGTTCTCCAATGTATTGTAGTCCATACTGAATTTCAAAAGATACAAAGAATGGGAGCAACATAACTACTATACAAATATATACACATCAATGATACAAATTCACAAATATATTTCCACTGTTGCAGCATGCATTTATATCCCATTGCTTTGTCCATGTTAGATATCTATTACCTAAAGATGAGACAACAAAGATGGCAGCCAAATCTATCAAACCAACAAACCAACCACAAATCTGCCTGTAACAGTTTCTACTCACCGTATAATGTGTCTCCTTTCTCAACATGATCAAACTCCGTGAGGGGCATGAATATGGATTGCAGCTTCACTTTTCCACCTCTTTTGTTCTGATAATATAGTAAACAAATGCATAGCAGGAAAACAATCAGAGACAAAAACGAATTTATATGAGACTGCAGCAAGGAAATCAACAATAAGCAATTGATAAATTAGATCAGGTTTGATATTCCATCAATTTCTCAGCATGCTCTCTCTCTTCTAAATTGGATTCCTTGAAGAATCTATTCAATAGAAAGACTGAAATTAGCCACACAGAAAAAGAGTAACAAATTAAGTTAAATCAAGAATTCTGAAGAAAAATTACTTGGAAAGACCCTTGAGCGCAACGTTGTCCCTGTCGAAGTAGGCAAACATGGCATGGTACACGTAGGAGACATTGTATTCGACACTGTAATCCCACCATAAAATTAACACACATACACATGCACAAAAAGTAAACCAAAAAAACAAAAAACAAAACCATTAGAACATAGGCACAGATAATACTATACTAAAATTTAAACACATGAAATAAAGAATCTTGATGCTAATTCCTAGTTTCCTGAAGAAATAAAGAATCAAAATTTCTCCCTCAAACAAAAAGAATCATCTTTTTTCAATAATCTTAGAAAAGATGCAATACGAAAATGTAATTTTTAAAATATAAAGTTAACTTAGGATCCAAAAGAAAAGAAATAAAAAGCCCACTTGATTTGCTCGTTGATAGAAGCATCACACTCATCAGTGTACTTTTGACGAGCTAAAGAAGCTTGAGCCAGAGTGGGGACAAGATCTAGCTCTTTCTTCACTTCCTCAAAAGGCTCAAAAACTGAAGAACAACTGAAAGGATTTTGAGTGGTGAAGAGACGAGGAGAACAACAAAGCTGGGCGATACTAAAGGCGGTTAGAGATGGGGAGGGCCCATTGGATGAACGACACGTGGACGATGAAGATGAGGAGGTGGATGGTGGATGGTGGAAGCGTGGTGGAATCGTGGTTGATCTGGTCTTTAGAGATATTATATGGTGGTTTGGGACCATTTGTGTGACAGTTTATGGAGTACATCTTTTTAGTTGTATTAGAGCAAAAGAGAGGACAAAGAAGAAGGAATATTTGGTTCAATTTTCTACTTTTTTTATGTGGTTTTGATAAGCTTTGAGATCTTTGAGTTGGATACTACTTCCTGTGTTTTGTATGGAAACCTGGACACTATTATATGATAAAGAAAAATACAAACAAATTTGTATAACATCTTAACATGGTAGGTGAATGTGCATATAACTAGATTAACATGTCAAAATGATTCAAATATTAAGGTTCTAAACAAAATTATGGTACATGAAAAATAATAATTGGCTAGTGAAGGCTCATATATTCTCAAAGTGAGCCATTTTTTTTTCTTTTTCTAAATCAAGACTAATGTAAAGGAGCAAAAGTGTTCATTGACTTTCAACATTGAGTTGTAAAATTAGGGTATCATCGACATCCTGGCTGGTTGAATAATATATTTGAGGCTTGAAGTGGCAGAAGGGATGATCAAATTGGAAACATAAAAGGCTTCAATATGTGTTGCTCTAATGTACTACCCTGCACCTTCTGTTTTAGAATTCTTCGATTCACCATTTAGTGCATCAGACGGTGCTAGGGCAAGATTTCCTACCTTTGTTCCTAGGGGCCTCTTGTTTTGTTAGTTTCTCAACATAGATATTGTATCTTGGGAAAAGGGTATTCTTTCCGTCTTTCGGTTTCCGGCTGATTTTAAGACTAACAGTTTTTGAACCTTCAAAACCTATGTTGCACTGATACGAATACAGGGACGGATACGGGACAGATACGTGGACGGGAAATGACAATTCTTAAATTTACATGGTACGGGGACGGCAAGGGTGCAGCATATAATAAAAATTAAATTATAAATAGATATAAAAATCATAAATAAAGTTAATATTTCACAGTAAATTAGAAAATAAAACCTATAAGTAAATATTAGAAAATAAAATTCATAAAGTTAATACTTCACAGAAAATTTGAAACCCTAAGATTTGGGAATTTTGGCCTAAATCTCTAAATTATTTATATGACCAAATTGTAATTATTGTAAAGCATGTAACGTATTTTATAAACCCTAAAATATTTGAAGAGTAACTCTAAAGTTATACCATTTTTATTATAATCACAAATTTTTAGCTTTGTTTTAACTTTTAGTCGTACCTCCCTATTTCTTTTCCTTCGATGATTCACAAATCCTCGCCGGTCATCCCGTAAACCCATATCTCGTCGTGTCACCACTATCCTTCGGTTGTCGATCATCTTCTAAAAGCCTCCACATTGTGACCCCAACCCTCACCGTTGACATAGGTCATGTTGATCTGAAACCCGCGAGCTTTGGCTCTCATTCTCCGCCGTGTGGGTCGATTCAGCCACCTGGGGATGCATGTGATAGTCACATGCCATCCCCGAAATGTCACCAGGTAAGCATCAAAACGTCCCCAAGTTTGTTCAGCCGTACCTCGCCATGTGGCACGTCCGCAATACGTACCCATGCCATCCCCGTCCTTTCCCCATAACGGGGACATATCGGGTACTGAAACGTGGGAAGCAATGACGTCCTTGTGCTTCATAGTTTAGAACCTCCCCATTTGACATCCCGGCTCTCGACGATCCAGGAAATTGATGGAGGAAATATTGTGTTTTCTACCGAAGCTGAAATTCTAATGTGTCCAAGAACAACAAAGTATGCTGCTTGATCCTGGTTATTTTTTTATCGAGGTTCTATATTTTCCAGTTGTTGCCTGTAGCATACATCATCAATTTCTTTCAAAGTGTACCCATCCAATGAAATGATGCTCTCTTGTATAGCCCATCCTGGTGCCATGTCTGGTTTTGTAAGTTGGCGAACCACAGTCACTTCATCGAATTTTCTCGAGAATTGATTCAATCCGTGGGATGCAATAAGCAATTTATTTTTTTCCTTCCATTTCAGAAGAGAATTCAAGGGAAATACCCACTTGAGAGTTACCTTCTGATTTTACCTGCACTAATTTGTGGCATAAAGCATTATATTGTTATTGGTTACAAATATTTTATTTTGTGAATAGCCAGTTGCAACCGAAACACTTAATCGAGAATCAAGATAGCTTACCGAATACATGAAATGAACAGGTAAGCCAACCATAACAAGCTCTCCTATAAAGAGTCTGGTTGAGACATAGGCACTGGCCTCAAGGGTTCCTTTAAATGTGAGGTTTTCTCCTCCGCTGAAAGAAGCTTCCTTAAAGTTACCATTTTACGAACCAGTTATTAGATCTCTGAACATTATACATATGGCTGAATTATGTCAAGTGCAAACTTACTCAAGACGGACATCAATAGTGTTCGAGGTAAAATTGTCAACATACTTGAGGAAAGGCTGAAACAAGAATGTAAAAGAATTTACATTTTTTTATAAATATACAACTTAAGAGTAACATCAAACAGTGAGTGATAAGTGAAAGAAACAAGATATGTCCATGAAGTAGCTACCTGAAAGGTTTGTGAAGAAATGTTAATCCATTGAGTGCTTAATACTTGTCTTCCATTGATGGAAATGTGATTGCCATGGCCCTGTGAAATTACAAGAGAGTCAATATGTAGAAAACAAACACATATATGTCTGAGGAATCCGGCTATGTAACGAGTAATAATTTTCAAGTTTTACATGTTCGCTTATTTTAAAACACACATAAGAGAAGAACAAAATATTTGACATGATTGCAACTTTATCAAAATTTGAGTAGAATAGTAATACTTTAGGATAATTTTGTACAATTCCCCATGATTTCTCAACTAGATCCCACCAACTGTAAAAGCCAGGGATTTGTAGTGAAGCTCTTTGAAAAGGCTTAAATGAGAAAAGGTATGTACAAATTCTGGCATAATATGATTAAATCACCATCCCAAATTAGGAATAAAAACACACATTGTTGAAGCATGGCTACATGCGTACGTGCATGTTGCTAATAGTTTGTGTGTGTGCACCGTTAATGTACAGGTGGTTAGTAGTTGGTTAGAGTTGTTAGAAGCTGTTAGAGGGCTGTTAAGTCAGTAAGCTTATGTATAAATGTGTTGCATATCCTTGGTTAATAGCACGGTCTTGTATCTTTTGATAGCTTCAAGATTCTTGTGTGTAAAATTCAACTTAGTATCAGATACTATTGATCCAGTGGTGTAGTAAGAGTTTTTTTTTGTTGAGTGCAGTTCTGCTATATGGCGTTCCCTACTTCTCCGTCTTCTGGTAGTGTTCTAAGCAACTCAGATCACTGGGTAGCTGCTTCCAAAGGGTTTACTAATAAGCGATTGAGCGTGGTGCTTGATGAACAAAATTTCCTATTGTGGAAACAACAGGTGTTGTTGACAGTTAGGAGTTATCGGCTTGAGAAACTGCTTTCTGGTTTGGTGGCTGCTCCGCCTATGATGGTTGTGCTGGATGGTGGCGCGGTGGTTGAAAATGAAGATTATGAGGTCTTTGTGGCCCAAGACAGTGCCTTGGCCTCATGGCTACTATCCACAATCAGCCCGTCCTTACTACCGCAATTAGTGGGGGTTGAGACAACTGCTCAAGTATGGAAGACGATTAACAAGATTTTTGCCTGAAAATCTACAACAGCAGTAATGAACCTGCACTATCAACTTAAAGTAGTTCATCAAGGAGATTTGGGGATGCGAGGCTACATATCTCAAGTTAAAGAGATATGTGATGTCTTGGCATCATGTGGCAGTCCAGTGTCCGAACTAAAGCATATTGCGACAATCTTGAATGGGTTATCAGCTGAGTACAGGCCGGTTATCACTGTTTTATCAGCCAGTCGAGATTCCTTGACCTTAGAAGGGGTTGTGATTGTATTCATTGATGCTGAAACTCAACAAAAGAATTTCAGTAGGTTTGACAATATAACTGCTGCTACGAATGTCTCATAGGTAAAGGCTTCCATGAATGACAGAGCTAGTCGGTTTGCTCAACAAGATAAAGCCACATCAGATAGACACAATGCTTATAGTAATTAGACTGGTCGTGGGAGAGGCGGTGTCAAGGTGCAGTGCCAATTGTGTGGCAGAACGATCATCTTGTTAACCGGTGCTGGTATAGGTTCGATAAAACATTCTCGGGTGTAGATGAGTCTGATGGAAGGAACGCGTTTAAGGATCGAGTACCTAATGCTAATATATGTCACTTTAACTCCAACAACTGTGTGTGTGGAAACAAGGTCAATATGAGTGTAGCTGGAACAAGTGATCAAGAACGATTTAAGCCTGTTGCAAATATGGCTGCTACGAGCTCGTCCCCATCTTCCTAGTTTGTGGATTTGAGAGCCACTCATCATATCACGCCCGATACCACAGAGGTTATGGATGGCACAGACTATACAGGAGATGGTAAGCTGACTGTAGACAATGGTAATTATTTATGCATTAATAGAATTGGTCGAGCGTCTGTTTTTACTACATCTCATGCTTTAATGTTGAGTGACTTGTTGCATGTACCCTCCATAACTAAGAAACTGGTATCGGTCTCCTAGTTTGCCAGGGACAATGGAGTTTTTTTGGAATTTCATGATGATCACTGTATAGTTCAAGATGAAAGGACTGGTGTTGTGTTGCTACGAGGAAGTGAAACGGATGGCTTGTATGAGTTCGATAGTGTTCTGTCTACTCAGGGTCGAGCTGCTGAAGAAAATATAATTGTTAATTCTAGTAATAACTATGTACTGTGGCATGATCGGTTGGGTCATCCATCCTATAAAGTTTTGTTGCAAGTTTGCAAGCAATGTAATATAAACTTGCGAAGCAGTTTTAATAAACAGTCACTTCTTGTATGTGTTTCGTGTCAAATGAGCAAAAGCTACAAGCTACCGTTTCATGCGTCTGAAACTCAGTATGAACAACCGTTCCAGTTGGTATTTACTGATCTGTGGGGTCCTGGACATATTGTATCAAACGGTTTCCGATATTATGTGTCATTTGTAGATTCATTTTCAAGGCATACCTGGGTGTATTTACTGAAAAACAAAGGACAGGCTGTCCAAGCGTTTCTCTTATTTCAGAGGCTAGTTTGAACTCAATTTGGTAAGGTGGTGAAAGCAGTGCAGAGTGATTGGGGAGGTGAGTATCGGTCTCTTTTAGCTGTGCTTACACAGTGTGGAGTTCATTATCGTGTGGCGTGTCCTCATACATCCCAATAGAATGGGGTTATTAAAAGGAAACATAGGCATTTGTTTGAGATGGCATTGATTTTACTGGCTCGAGCAGCCTTACCTTTAAAGTATTGGTCATTTGCAGTAGTGACAACATCTCACTTGATTAATAGGTTGCCGACTAAGGTACTTCACGGCTGTACACCGTTTGAGAAACTGTTTGGGAAGCCTCCTACGTATGATCATCTAAGGGTGTTTGGCTGCAGGTGCTTTCCTCACCTAAGGGTGTTTCAGCCCTATAAACTTGCATACAGGTCATAATTGTGTGTGTTCCTGGGCTACAGTATGAATCATCGAGGGTACCAATGCTTAGCACCTGATGGAGAGGTGTACATGTCTCGATATGTAGTTTTTGATGAGCACGTGTTTCCATTTGCTGGACTTGAAGGTGGGAAGCATAGTGGAACAGGTGCACAAAGGCCATGTATTGGAGTGTCTTTGATGGTGATTCCAGGTGCGCAACGTGTTTGTGGTAATGCCTCACAACTTGTGGTGCCCGAGTTTGAATATGAACCAGTGTGCAATGAGGAAATGCCAGAGGTTGATGTAGCTAGAGCTTCTAGCAGTGAGGAGAGTCAGTCTGCTGAGAGTGAAAGTGTTCGTGGAGGTCAAAATAATGATGGTATGAATGATGAGGTAGTTCCTGCTGAAGTGACTAGCCAGATCGAGGTTGCACCAGCAAGTTCCTCAAGCCCTATTGAGGCACCTAGACAGACTGAGGTTGTTTCAGCTTGTTCCTCAGTTCACAATGAGCATCTGATGGTCACTCGTAGCATACGAGGGATTTTTAAACTAAATGTGCTCCTTGCTCAAGCCCGGGGCAGTGGCAGTGAGCCGTGTTCGATTACTCAGGCACTACAAGATCCTCAGTGGAAGGAAGCAGTGTTGGCTGAGTATGATGCGTTGGTGAGGAACGATACCTGGAGGCTTGAACCATTACCGGAAGGGTGTGCAACAGTTGGCTGTTGTTGTTGATCAAAATCAAGCTTAATGTTGATGGCTCTGTGTTGAAGCATAAGGCTCGCCTTGTGGTGAGGGGTTACTCACAAGTACCTGGCCATGACTTCAGTGATACATTAAGCCCTGTGGTAAAGGCCACCATGATGAATGTTGTGTTGTCCCTAGCTGTCAATCGTGGTTGGAGTCTGAGGCAAGTGGATGTTAATAATGTGTTCCTTAATGGGGAACTTGGAGAAGAGGTGTACATGGTGCAACCACCAGGGTTTGAACGAGTAGCCAGTGATGGGATCTGGTTAGTCTGTTGGTTGTAGAAGGCCCTGTATGGGCTGCGACAAGCGTCGTGTATGTGGTATGCTAAGCTGCGCAACTTCTTGTTGGAACTAGGATTTTGTGGTACAACGGTGGATGCTTCCTTGTTTGTTCGTCGAGTGGGTGGAGTTCGTACACTGGTGCTTGTGTACGTAGATGACATTATCATAACAGGTGAATCGAGTGATGCTGTTAATGAAGTGGCGAGTCTACTTGGAAAAAAGTTCTCCTTGAAAGATTTGGGAGAGCTTGGATATTTCCTGGGTATTGAGGTTCGTAGATCGCCCGAGCAGCTGGTGTTAAGCCAACGCAAGTTTATTCAAGGGTTGCTGGAGCAGACTGGGATGCTTACTGCTAAACCTGCTCCTACACCTATGGTAGTGTCACCGAAACTAACGAGTGATGCTGGGAAATCACTTTCAGACGCTTGGATGTATCGAAGCATAGTTGGTTCCTTGTTATACTTGAGTCATACAAGGCCAGACATTGCATTTAGTGTTAATCGAGTGGCACAGTACATGCATCATCCTTTTGATGGCCATTGGCTTGCTGTTAAGAGAATAATGCTTTACTTGAGTGGTACAGTTGATTGGGGCTTGGTGTTCAGGCGGTCGACTGTATTTAAAGGGTGCTGTGTGACTGCATTTGCTGATGCTGACTGGGCCAGTAACGTCGATGACCGTAGGTCTGTGTCTGACTCATGTGTGTTTTTTTGCTGCAATTTGGTCTCATGGAGTGCGAAGCGAAAGAAGACAGTGGCTCGATCAACAACATAAGTTGAATACCGCAATGTTACTGATACTGTAGCTAAGGTGATCTTGGTTAAGTCTCTGTTGGCAGACATGGGTGAAGTAGTTGATGCGGTTCCGGTTGTGTGGAGTGATAATACAAGTGCCATTGCAATGAGTGCTAATCCAATATTTCATGCACGATCAAAGCACATAGAACTGGATATACACTTTGTTCGTGAAAAGGTTGAATGTGGAGTTGTTCGAGTTAACTATGTACCGTCTGAACATCAAGTGGCAGATGTGATGACAAAACCGTTGGCTAAGTCTGCACATGTAATGTTTACTCAGAAAGTGCAGGTAGCAGAGAGAGAACAACTGAGAGGAGGGGGGGAGAATGTTGAAGCATGATACATGCGTACGTGCTGCTGCTAATAGTTTGTGTGTACATCAAGTGGCAGATGTGATGACAAAACCGTTGGCTAAGTCTGCACATGTAATGTTTACTCAGAAAGTGCAGGTAGCAGAGAAGAGAACAACTGAGAAGGACGGGGAGAATGTTGAAGCATGACTACATGCGTACGTGCATGCTGCTAATAGTTTGTGTGTGTGTGCAGTTAATGTATGGTGGTTAGCAGTTGGTTAGAGTTGTTAGAAACTGTTAGAGGGTTGTTAAGTCAGTAAACTTGTGTATAAATGTGCTGCATATCCTTGGTTAATAGCACACTTCTTGTATCTTTTGATAGCTTCAAGATTCTTGTGTGTAAACTTCAACACGCACCGACGTATATGTATATGTCAAACTGTCTACAAGTCAGTAACTCAGCTACATAATTACACTCATAAAAAATTGTTGGACGTTGACTTCATGCATGAAGTGGAAAACCAACAAGTCTTAGAATTAAATGTATAGGACCAAAGCATCATTGAAAGGGAAGAGTGGACATCTTACTTAATAAATAAGCATTCTATAACAACACTAATCTGCCTAAAGAAAGAAGTGCAATACCGATTTTGAGCAGTCTGAAAATCAGGGGGTTGTTTTGTTTCATAGATCCATCCGGGAGCAAATAGTGCAGCTGAGATATTGTCCTTCTTTATCACATCAAGTGCAACATTTGTCTATTATGGAAAAAAATGGAAAAAAATGTTAGGGTTTCAATCAGTCAAACTGAAGGACAACTGGCACAAGAAATTAGCAAAAACTAAAGGACATCTGACACAAGAAACTAGCAGTGCTAACTAGCCAAAATTGAGATGTCACTTGGATTAAGAAAGTCGATGAATTACAACTGATTATAACCCGTCACTCTCAGGTTAATGCATTTAACAAGCAAAGAGCTCATTTTATATTTTGTCTCGTAACATAACAAAGATGAAAATCAGAAATAACTTTTTCCTATTACATTATTCAAAAACTGTAAATCAACCAGAAACAAAACAAAATATGTACATAGTACTAGCCGCCAAACTGCTATGGAAATTCCAAGCATTAATTATATGATTATATCATTAAAGGAAGCATAAATTCAGGCACTTATTACAACATGGCTCAAGACTCAAGAACATGCTCTATTTTTGTTTTTATTTTCACCGTATTTATAATAATATATAAATACTAAGGTGACCTTTGGTTTGCTGGAATGTTTATGAGGGAATTGAAATCTGTGAAGGAATTGGAATCTGAATCTGAAACCTATTTGGTTGGTAGGAAATTGAATTGGAATCCAATTTCATATTCTGTTTGGTTTGCAGACATGTCAGATGAATTTGATTTCAGTAATATAAAATGACAGAATTGCTTAATTTTAGTTTGTTTTATAACTTACATGTAGCAATATATTATAAAAATTTAAAAAAATATTAAATTTTCATTTTATTGATTGATTATTCATTTCAATAAATTAAAATAATCATACTAATAAACATCATAAGTTAAAAACATCCCAATTAGGGATGGTCATGGGTCGGGTTGGGTCGAGTTTTTGGTCCACCCGACCCAATCCGAGAACAAGGGAACCTCTACCCGAGACCCGACCTGACCCGACCAAAATAACGTTTCACCCGACCCGACCCGACTTGAATATATGAATTAGAAATACGACCCGACCCGAAATAATAAAAAAATTATTTATATTCAATAAAAATAGTGACTTAATTGGAAAAAAATATAGAGAGGGGTATTATTGTAATTATTATATATTTTTTTCGTGTCGGGTATTTTTCACTCTAAACCCGACCCGAATATCACACTTAAAAAAATACGACCCGACCCGAACCCGAAATTTTAAAAAAAATCCAACCCGATCTCGATTTTTAAAAAAAAATCCGACCCGAATACCAAAAGATTGATGAGGGTAATATGGTCAAATTTCACATTTCCTCCTTCGAAGGATTTCAATTCCATCATGTTATGGATGGAATTTGCTTTCCCTCCCTTGATGGAATTGGATTTCAATTCCCCCTTTAAAAACTTGAACCAAACATGGGAGAGTGGTGGAATTGGATTCCAATTCCCCCTAATTCCAAGGGATTCCAGTGAACCAAACGTCACCTAAGATTCCTCAAGAAAGGAAACAAAATGTAAGCAGGTAACCACCACTGTTGATGAAATCACAATCCAACCAAATTTGTGCATCAACTTCCAACTTCGAAAGGTAATTGTATAACACTACATTGCTATGATTTGTTTAATGAGAATTTCCAATCAAAAGGTAACGGCAAGAAAGCATGAATTTGAAAACAAAACATATCTCAAAGAATTGAGATATGTTCTGTAACACCCATTTCCCGTATATTTTTCCGTACACGAGATACAAATGTCATCTAACCTTTAAAATAGTTCCTCATTTATAAACCCGAAAAATTTTGTTTCTTTTTATAAAACATTTTAATTTACTAATAATAAAACATGCATTAAACTTAAATAGATAACAAAAAGAAATGTTCACACTTCATCATTTTTACATCAGGTTAAATAAAATGCTTTTTAGAATGTTTTTATTAAATCTAATACATGCCAACAAAATACATCAAAAGTAGACATGAATGTCGTACTGTTACTGTCGAGGCGATATAAGTATAGCATAACAATTCTGATATCGAGTAACTTCTTTTAATTTATTATAAACCTTATAAATTTACACCCTTAGTGCTAATATGGTAATTTACCAACTTTATATTCATATTCATTTATTAATTTGCACACGTAGTGCCTATACAGTAGTTCATCAACTCATGATGAATTCCGCGATTCTGCACACATAGTGCCTGTACGTTTATTCATCAACTCATGATGAATTCCATGGATCTGTACACATAGTGCCTGTACGTTTATTCATCAACTCATGATGAATTCTGTGGATTTGCACACATAGTTCCTGTACGGTTATTCATCAACTCATGATGAATTCCGTGGATTTGCACACATAGTGTCTGTAGTACACATAGTATTGATATAACATTGCAACATATATTTATAACTCTTAATGTACATAATAAATGCACTCACATGGCTTTACTCGCTATTGTATCCAAAACGCAAGGCTGATTACTTAGGTACTTTGCCTTTCGTTTTGCTTGACTCAGGAGCTTGATTTCGATCTACTCAAGCATCCATTAAAGACACGTACAATATCAATTGTAAGTATATTTCCTAACAATTATACTTAAATAATACTCAAAAGTACATATTATTAAATTTCTATAACAATCTCAACTTATCTTAACATTTATGGCTCAATAGTATTGATACCCCTACCATGGTATCGATACTACTGTGTTATGGTACCGATACTCTTATACGATATTGATACCATTTTTGCATTCGTATCAATGTACTACGCTGTTTCTTTCCATTTATCAATCCAGTATAGTATCGATATTGTTCTATTAGTACCGATACTCGTACCCAGATCTTCCAGTTTTCAACCCGATTATTACCCAAATTGGGTCAAATTTCCTTATGTTAACACCCAACAATACTATTAAACTCTTTTTTACTTATCCATATTGATTTTCCTTCATTTAGCTTCTTAAAACATCTAAAATCTTCCAAGAACATTTAAATCTAAGAATCACACTACTTTTTCTAACATGTTCTTAATCTCATCCAATGTTTCAAATTTATTTTACATATTTGACAAGTCAAAAATACTAAATAACATCAATAAAAACTCATATTCTAACATAACACTCAAAAACCCATTTTCTTCAATCTCAAAAATCTCTTTAATATCTTAGTTTGGACCCCATTTAGTCATTTCTTAAGCTTCTATCATACTCAATGCTTCAAAAACCAACCAAAAACGAAAGAATAAACTAGCAAATTGAAATCTCACCTTTAGCTATAGAGGAGAGTTATCCACGTGAAAGAAGAAGAAGAAAAGAGTTGACTTTAGCTAGCTCACTTTTCCACTTATTTCTTTACTTTAATACTTGTAAAAATGAATTTTAAATTCATTTCCCCCTTAAAAGACCACAATGCCCTGTTAATCATCCATTGCTACAATTTAGTCTAAACCACTAATCCAAATCATTTCTCATTTTTTATCATTTAATCAAATAAATCCTCAAATTTTAAATCTTTTTTAAAAAAAGTCCCTAATTCGATATTTGGGGCATTACAATTCTCCCCCTTAAGAAAATTCGTCCTCGAATTTAAAGGAATACCTGAAACGATGAAGTAAGGAAACTGCTTCATCAAGTCCTTCTCTCTTTCCAAAGTAGCTTATTCTACCTTATGATTCTGCCAAAGCATTTTAACCAACAGAATCCTTTTGTTACGTAATTCCTTGGTTTCCTTAAACAATATTTGCACTGGTTCCTCCTCATAAGTTAAATCTGGTCGGATCTTTATTTCTTCAGGAGTGATAACATGGGATGGATCTGATCTGTACCTCTTAAGCATCGATACGTGAAAAACATTGTGGATCTTGTCCTTATCCGAAGGAAAAACTAACTGATAAGCTATTGGTCTGATCCTTTTCAAGATCTCATAAGGTCCAATGAACCTCAGACTCATCTTTCCTTTTCGCCCAAAACGTAATACCTTCTTCCAAGGTGATACCTTCAGAAATACTTTATCCCCCCCTGAAATTCGATTTTCTTTCTTTTCAAATCAGCATAAGACTTCTGGCGATCTGAGGCTTTCTTTAGATTACTCTGGATAATTTTCACTTTTTCTTCCAAATCTTTCATCAAATCTGGGCCAACCATGTCCCGATCTTTTAGTTCAAACCAATTTAATAGTGTTATGCACTTTCTCCCATAAAAAATTCATACATGGCCATCTTAATACTCGATTGGTAACTATTTTTATACAAATATTTTGCTAAAGAAAAACACCTCTCCCATGATCCTTTAAATTCCATCACACATTCCCTTAACATATCCTCTAATATTTGTATAGCTCGCTTTGACTGCCTATCTGTCTGCGGATGAAAAGCTATGCTGAATTTCAATCGAGTACCCAATGCCTCATGCAAAGGCTTCTAGAATCTTGAAGTAAACCTTGGGTCTCAATCAGACATTATCGAAATAGGCACTCCATGCAATCTAATTATCTCTTTTATATACAACTCTACATACTTGTCCATCGAGTAGTCTACTCGAACTAGGATAAAATAAGCCGTCTTGGTCAATCTGTCCACTATTACCCATATCGAGTCCTTTTTACTTGGTGAAAAGGGTAGCCCTGAAACAAAATCCATTGTAACTCGTTGCTACTTCTACTCAGGAATGATTATCGGTTGTAGCAATCCGGAAGGCACTTAATGTTCAACTTTCACTTGGTGACATGTTAAACATTTTACAACAAACTCCATTACAACTCTTTTCATACTAGGCCGCCAGTAACGACTCTTCAAGTCCTAATACATCTTATTCCCACCTGGGTGCATCGTCAAAGGGTTATAATGTGCCTCGCAAAGAATATCTTTCCTCAGTTCTCATCATTGGGAATGCAAAGTCTTCCATGATAATATAAACATCCAGTATCCCTCATTTCAAAAATCTTTGGCCTCTTCTTTTTTGACTTACGTCAATCTTATTAAGCATTTCTCATCTTGACATTGAAGCTCTTTTACCTGATCCAAAAGAATATACTTTAACTTTAATTCTGCAATCAAAGCATTATGTTCCTTTAAAGACATATGTGCACTAAAGCCCTTAAAGCTGCAAAATTCTTTCGACTGAGCTCATCGGCTACCACATTAGCCTTTCCCGGATGATAGTCAATAACCAAATCATAATATTTTAAGAGCTCAATCCATCTTCTCAGTCCCAAATTCAGCTCTTTCTGAGTCAACAAGTATTTTAAACTCTTGTGATCCGTGTAAACATAGTAACGCTCACTGTCCACTTTTGTGAGTACTATATATAGACGCGAAGTATGTGCAAGTATACATAATCGAACAAGTAATATAGTGATGAGAGAGTATCATATCCACAGGGATTGGAGAGATCTTAAGTAAAGTTTATGCACTATTCTAAAGTAACTAAGTTTAACTACTGTATTCACAAATGAGAATGTTGTGCAAAATGAAATGGATGTAGGTGGAAATAGAATGATGGTGCAATGTAATATGGTAGCAAGTGGAGATGTTGTGGCAAAATGGATAGAAATGTCGTGGCAAAATTAAATTGAGTGTATTAAAATCAATTGAAAATGTAAAGGAAAAATAAAATGTAAATATGGATTTGATTATCAGGACTTTAGACTTTTCTCACATGACAAGCTACTATGGGAATGCAGGACAGGAGTCACTTGGGAAATTTAAGTCTACCTCTCAGAATGGTTTTACTTCTATGCCTTATCTGCCCTATAGAGTCTATTAAGGGTACCCTATACTATCTCTAGTTAAGGGACTCGGCAGATTGAAGATACCTTGGCAAACAGGTTGGCGTTACCTACTGCAGGGATCCTATTGGTCCAGATAACAGGATATGTCACGGTAATACCTTTTTGCGGCAACATTAACATCTAACCTCTCGATCATGTACTACTCCTTTTAGCCGACTGAAATCCTAGCCTTATCTCTAAAGTGGATTAGGGCTAGTTACTATCTAGAACCCCTTGTTTATATGGTTTCTCCCTAGTTTCTCTCGACCACTAAGGATGTGCTACTTAGACATTCTCTCAAACACTTAGTAATCTATTAACGAATGGCTACTCTCATAGCTCATACAACCTTAAGGCATTAAACTCCATAAACAAAACAGATAATAGCATACAAAAAACAACCATTCATTAAAGCAAATCTTAAATATCCAAAATGAACTCCCACGAAATAAGACTAGTTCATGGTGGGGTTTTAATATATCAAGCACATAGCAAGTTAATCCGTTCATTACAACCCAGATGATAAAGATGAAAGCAAATAGAAAAGGGAATGAGGAAAAGCCTTCGACGTGCATTGTCAGAGCTTCCCTCGGCCACCATGAATTGTCCCAGTGAGCTAGCTCCTCTCGGACGCCTAGATCGCCACTCCCTCTAGCTTGTCAACGGAGGAATGCCACGGCAAAAACGACTGACGGAAAAAGGAGAGACCTTTTTCTCTCTGAATTTAAGTTTAGATAGCGTGTCAAAAGGTTATTTTTCATTCTGGCCTTATCTCCTACTTATAGGGGGAGAATAACCTAGGGTTTTATGTTAAAATCTCTATAGTACCCTAAAGTT